CTACGGCAAGTCGCGGAGAGCTATTTTTGTTTTGGAACTTATATCAAGCACCTACTCTCTTAGCTCTCGTGGCCGGAGAAGCTGCTGCAATTATGGAGAACGTGACGGATGACGTGGTAGTCGGCAGATGTATAGCAGTCTTAAAAGGAATCTTTGGTAATACAGCCGTACCACAACCAAGAGAGACCATTGTCACCAGATGGAAGACCGATCCATGGTCGAGAGGATCTTACAGTTTCGTCGCAGTAGGCGCTTCCGGAAGTGACTATGATCTATTAGCAACTCCAGTACATCCACCTACTCCTGCAGGTCAACCTATAAAACCTAGGGTATTTTTTGCTGGAGAACATACAATAAGAAACTATCCTGCGACTGTGCATGGAGCACTGCTCAGTGGTATAAGGGAGGGAGCCAGAATAGCTGATCAGTTTCTAGGATGCCCGTTTAGTCATGAAGCTGCTAGTAGTTTTAAACCATAGATGCCTTCAAATTTCTGATAAAGTATTTATTTATTTTAATAATATTTTAAAGACTGAAAACTGTGAGTGTAAAGAAAAAATAAAATAAGACAATGTAATATAAATTAATACTTGCACTCATGTCGTTTAATACGCACATATTCCTTTTTCTAAATTATCTTAATTTTTTAATGTACCAATCAAAATATTGAAATTGTAAAAATGTTAATTTCTAGACGTATGCTTAATATAAATAAAGTAATTTAAATTTTAAATAATACTGTTTTGATATCTGTAGTCATTTAGAATTTATATAAATAACCATTGCATCATCTCACATTTATCAACGCCTATAAAGTAGTCATGTAAAGCTTTAGTTATTTAAACCTCATTACTAATGAAACCAGAATATGCTTATGGGACAGCAAACCATCTTTTGAATTCAGTGATATTTGCTATTTTTCAATAAATAAAGACATTTGTTTTAGCCCTCAATGGCGTTGGGAGTGTGAGAAGGGACAATGTGTTAAAAAGCCATTACTCGATACAGATGCTGAAAATGCAATTTCACTTAGCGCTTGCCAAATGTTCTGCGATCATGCAGGCGTGTTATGGCCTATACCTACAGGTGATGTAAGTCTTGGTAATACATTGGTAAAAATTGATTTGAACCATGTTCAACTCGAAGAATCCTTCAAAGATGATAATTATAAAAAATTGTTCAACAAAAGCATCGAGGTAAGTTGAAACAATTGATTACTATTAAATATCATTGATTACATTGGCTAATAATAAATAAACCACAATAGCGTTTTAGAAAACAACTAGCTTCTAAGGTACACTTAAAAGAAAAATTAAATGATGGAGGGCGAAAGTTAATAATTACTCCTAAAATTACCAATGAAGTTTTCCGTCGTAAGTGCTTCATCATTAACCAACATTATTTACTGATTACATTTCATGACTAAAATTTTTAAATTTAGCTATAACACTTGATACTGATGAATCATATAAATTATATGTAAGTCAAGCAGCTGACGACTTTGTCAATGCTACTATAGTTTCAAACTCATACTTTGGAGCTAGAAATGGCTTAGAAACTCTGAGTCAACTTATTATATTTGACGATCTGAGACAAGAGTTACAGGTAATAATAAACATATTAAACTTATTAAATATAAAGGTCAGTAAAACAAATATATGACTGAAATATCATCACACCTAGGTAGTCAGAGATGTATCAATAGAAGATGCTCCAGTTTACAAATATAGAGGAATTTTGTTAGATACAGCGAGGAATTATTATTCTGTTGAATCAATTAAAAGGACAATAGGTAGTATTACAATGTTATGTAAGTTGTAAAAGTACCAAGTTATTAATTCTAAAGTTAAAATATTTTAGATGCAATGGCATCAAGCAAATTGAACACATTCCATTGGCACATCACAGATTCACACAGTTTTCCCTTTGAAACTCCATCATTACCACAATTATATGAAAGGGGTGCCTATAAACCACATCTAATTTATTCAACAAAAGATATCGAAGAGGTTGGTTAAAATATGAATTTAATGTGTGATCACTAAATTTTGGATTAATATCATCAAAAATAATTCTCAATAGGTCTTGGAATATGCTTTATTCCGAGGAGTACGCGTTCTTCCAGAATTTGATGCTCCTGCTCATGTTGGAGAAGGTTTTCAAGGTTTGGATGTAACCGCATGTTTCAATGCACAACCATGGAACAAATACTGCGTAGAACCACCATGTGGGCAGCTGGATCCAACACAAGACAGATTATATGATATTTTACAAAAAATATATACAGACATGTTTAATGTATTCAAGCCTGATATATTCCACATGGGAGGAGATGAAGTATCAAACTCTTGCTGGAATTCAAGTACTCGCATCCAGAATTGGATGGTTGAACAAGGATGGGGTTAACCGATGAAAACTTTTTGAGATTGTGGGGCCTGTTCCAAGAAAAAGCATTGGAAAAGTTGAACAAGTAGCTGGTAAAGAATTACCAATAATTTTGTGGACGAGTCATTTAACAGAACTACCTCATGTGACCAAGTTCTTAAATAAAGATAAGTATATTATTCAAGTATGGACAACAGGAGCAGATAAACAGATATTTGATCTCTTAAATAATGGATATAAATTAATAATGTCTAATTATGATGCCTTATATTTTGATTGCGGGTTTGGTGCCTGGATAGGTGCAGGAAATAACTGGTGCTCCCCATATATAGGCTGGCAAAAGGTTTATTCCAATAGCCCTAAACAAATTGCTGGAACATATAGTAATCAAATATTGGGTGGTGAAGCAGCACTGTGGTCAGAACAAGCAGATGAGCATTCTCTAGATGCAAGACTTTGGCCTCGAGCTGCAGCATTAAGCGAACGATTATGGTCTGAGCCAAGCACAAGCTGGGAACATGCAGAAATCCGCTTGATGATTCACAGAGAAAGGCTAGTTGAACAAGGAATTGCTGCAGAAAGTATTAAACCACAATGGTGTTTACAAAATGAAGGAAATTGCCCTGCTGCATCATGATAAATATGTAAAGAAAAATCTTATTCACATGTACTTATACTTATAATTATTAATACTTGGATAATGGGTAATTTTATGACAAAATATATGAAGTATAAATATTTCTTACATTGTTGCTTACATTCGATTATGAATGTTAATTTCAAATTTAATGTGCTTGCTCACTACAAGCGTACAGTAAACAAACATTATACACTTTATCAATATAAAAAAATCTAAGATTACATATATCAATAAATAGAATATCTAGAACAAATATTATATAGTTACTTTTATACATTCAAAACAAATACAAATAAAAAATATTGAGTTTTATATATATTTGTGGTATCTTGTTCTAACCCAAAATTTCTTATTTTTAGTTTTAAGTCACTTTAATGGAAATAAGCTATAAGCTATTTAGCCCCATAATTCTTCAGATCTTCCAAATTTGTATACAAGGGATCCCAAAAAAATTAATAAGTTTTGTAACAGAAGACCTACACCAGGATAAGTATGTCCATCTCCGGCTAAAACAAAAATGATTAATATTAAACAAATTCAACGACTTCTGCAGATCTGATTATTAATAAATAATAACCTGCTGACACAAAGTCTGCAAACATGATCCAACAAGCTGCAATTACAGATGCAAAACCAATTACAAAACCTAGGAATAACCAAACTCTAGCTCCTCGAGGACCCATACAACCTCCTGAATATGCATCACCAAGAACCTGTATTTATCAATTAATAAATACCAATAGTATTTCAGGAAAACATTAAAACATTTTTACTGCCCTACTTTTTTTTCAAAAGTATGATTAATAATCTTTGTGACCAACTCAATGTGTTTATCCTCACAGAATTAAAAACAAGTTTTATGACCTAGATTACTCCACTGATGTTGAGTAATAAAACAAACATTTGATAAAGTGAACTAAACGCTAGGAATATTATCTAATAATAGAATTTTATAAATCCTTGAACATTAATAGGCATTAAAACTATTATTAATACCTGTGCGTTAGATACTGAATTCACCATGAATAAACTAATGGTTCCAAAAACACCACAAACATGATGTGCAGCACTAAGTGATCCAGGATATACTGATGCTGCATCAATTAGAATCCACCAACCAGAAAAAACTACAAAGATTTGCAACACTCAATAAGCAATAATGCATTTGAATCTTTCATTTGTAAGCATTAATAATTACCAGTATTCCTGCAACTATTGAAGCGTATGTATTTCTTTTATCTCCAGCTTCAAACCAATACATGGAGGGATTGATATATTTTCAAAACAATTAGTCATTTTTTATAAGATTTTAATATTTGTGAAACTTCTTGAGATTCAATTCTTGTCACTTTTAGCACAGAGTATTTATTGAAAATGGAGAAATTATTGTAAGTGAATCTGTCATATAAATACTTTTGAAATACAATAAACATATGATATCACAGAGTAAAATAGCTTTTAGAAGTTAAAATAACTTTAAAGTTTGACTTTTGATGATTCTTGCAGTGACAGTTCATAATGTTAAGACAGTGTTGCAACACAGAAAAACTAACCATATTAAAAGTTGAAAAGTTAACAACACTAAAAATAAATTTAATAAATATATTAATATTAAAGTTTAATAATAAATTTTAAATTAAAACAATGTTTGAAAAAAATTTCGTTTCTAAAATAAATTCATACATAAAAGAAGAGAACATAAATGAATAAATTCATTCTTGTTCTTTTTAGTTTCAAGAACTTTAAATGTTGGCATGTTGGCATTACTGTTTGTTTTACAGCAAATGTCAAATGTGTCAAATGGTGCAAAATTTCAATCAAAATTATTTTTAATGTCTAAAATGTAAACAATAACGTGGAAATAGTTACCGGGCGTGAAAAAATGCATGAAAACTAGTGAGCTATGAGAAAATTGGTAAAAAAAAGCTATATATATAGAAGAAAAAACTGTAGAAATAAATTGTGAATGTTTACAATGTTGAAGGAGGAAAAGAGTTTGCTTCTTAAACTATGGTTTGCTAGAGATCTTAATGCCAAAAATATATATCATTTTAAAACGTCACGTCTAGATTTTTGTATGATTTACAACGAATTCAACAAAAACCATATATTGACGTAGTATGGATGTTGTTTCCTAATGAATAATCATCTAAAAATAATAATTTCTCTTTCTTT